TTGCAATGGTGATGGACAGACAGGTTGAGTATGAGGTCAGGCAGGAGGCTCCAAGGACTATGATGTTTGCCGGTGACATTGTAATCTGTGGTGAGAGTAAAGAGCAGGTGGAAGAGAACCTGGGAAGGTGGAGGTTTGCATTGGAGAGAAGAGGAATGAAAGTCAGTAGAGACAGGACAGAATGCATGTGTGTGAATGAGAGGGAGGCAGGTGGAAAGGTGAAAATACAAAGTAGAGGTCAGAAAGGTGGAAGACTTCAAATATCTGTGCTCAACCATCCAGATGTTTTTTTTTATTTATGTCTAGCAAACTAACTTTTATTATGTACATTAACTAAATTGCAATTCAGTTATATCAACTGTTCATGAAATTTTCAGAAAACCTTTTTCAAAATGGCCAAAATATTACTTTAATACAAACAAATTGTCACTCTCAGCAGGCCCTGAAGGATGCCTGTATTTGTAGCAAAATGCTGTTTCAAGAAAACTAAGTGGCTGTGACATGCTTACTACAAAAAGTCAAAGAAAACATCTTTATACTGTATTTAAGACATTTTGCATATTACACAATTTTACCCATTTTTTCTCATAACTGGCACGTTTTGAACTTGGCTCAGCTAAAGTGAAACAGGAAGTGACATCAAAGGGGCACATTTTAAGAAAGGGATCTCCCTGGTCTTTATTGAACTCTGACTCTTCTTCATTTCTCTTTGATAGAGATTCAAAATAATCTAAAGAAACATCAGATTCTTCTCTACAGTCTGTGTTAGTTATTGTAGCAACGCTCTGTTTACATTCAGACATTCCCCTTTGACATCACTTCCTGTTTCTTCACATGCAAATATCTCAACAACTCTTCATCTCAGCAGYGTGAAATTTTATTTCTAATATGTTATCAATGTTATCTTTCCAAAAATGCATTCATATGTCTTACAAAAAATTGATACTGCAGGTACTTGAACGTCTCAACAGCTAATCCGAACGTAGCCAWGACCAAAGTGGACTATTATCGCCATGATTCCACTCTGTAGGATTTCCTAGTGATTCTTGCAAACACTGTTTTTTTAAAACATTTAACCTGCTGTCGTTTTGCAATACACAATTATTTTGTTCAAAACTATTTTAAATTCTGTCTGGAGAAGCTCTTCTGTAAAATAACCAGAGAAATGGATAGTGGCGTAAAAGGATTGTAAAGCTTTTGCATAAAGCACTATCAAACTTTTGAAAGTTGTTTTTGGCTGCAGGTTTTCAGAGAAAGTAAACAAGCCAAACAAAGAGTGGGGTGGGGGGGTGTAGATGCGTCTCTACAGCTACTTGATTCTAGTCTGCAGAATATATTTTGCATCTCGATAATTCAGAGAAGGAAAGGAAAAAGRGCTCGATGTCTCGGACACACAGCTGTGGAGTCCACGAATGAAAGAAATATTATTATCCACCCCCCTCAGCCAGCGGGTCCTTTCTCCACATCTGTGCCATGGATATGTGAAGGATTATTTTGGGCATTCCAATTCAGGATGCCCCCAGGAGGCAAGAGAGCAAAGAGAGCAACAAGGGCCTCTGTTTCCTCCAAACAACACCCCCTCGCCCTCCCTCCAACTTCAGATTTTTTTTCTCGTCACCTCACAGAGGACAAGGGGACCCTCTTTAGACTTTATCAGACCATCTCCAGAAGATCATCTCTAAGACTTCAGTCATAAACTTCACAATCAGCAACAGTTCATGGGGGGGTTTCATGGTGCAGCACCCGCTCGGTTTCCATGGAGTCATGCCCCAGAACTCACTGAGACTGAGGCACGCCATTCTTCTCCCCGCCGCCGAAACGCGCCGCTTATAATGACTCCAGCTATTGTGGAGGCGCACAAGTGGCTCTCAGAGGAGAGAAGGGATGGAGAGGGGAAAAAAAGCGTGGGGGGTCAAGGTTCAAACAAAAGGCTCACCACTGGGGCTCCCCTTTTTCTGTTATCAAATTTGTTGCGGGACAAAAAGAGCTCCAGTTTCATTCCTGGGGACATGTTGAGGGAGGGAAGAGGGGTTGTAGGAGAGCGTTCTTTGTGTCAGAGCACAGCGTCCACAGTAAGGCTTCACTTTGCTCCTCAAACACCTCCCTGCCCCTGCTCCRGCTCTGATTGTTGTCTTTGCCTAGTTTTCCTCTGTGGAGCTCTGGTAAGTCTTCTCTTTAATGACTTTAGTCTGTTTTTAGGACAGTGATGTAAACTGAACCCATTTTCATTCCGAGCTTTCTTCAGACTTCATAAAACATCACGTTTTATTTTTGGATTTGAAGTCAAACTCATCCATCATCAGCTAGGTGTTGTATTTATTCTCTTCCAGTTTCTGCAGACATCACAGCTGCCAGTTTGACCAGCGGGCTCTGCCCTGACCAAAGCCCTTTTCGGGATCGTTTTTCTCCAGAACGACCCCCTTTTTAAAGACAGACTTATTTATGGATGCTTTTCCCTTCAGCGGTTCTGCTCCTGGAGCTGCAGCTCTTTTCTTTAGGCTTCAAGTCTGAGCTTAAGCTTTGGCTGCAGGTTTCACTTCACTCGCTCAAAGGATCCAGACTGTTATGTCTGATTGACTCCTAATGGAGCAAAGAGTGAGCTGGTGTGAAAAAAGAAAAAGAGAGATAAAGACAACCTTCCCTTTTCATTGTGTTTTCTGGTTTGGGATGTTTGAGAACACCTGCTCAGCTTTAAAGGCAGAATTATCAGTGTCACATGTTATAATAGTGGTGTTGGATCCACCATAAATAGCAAAGTGAAAGCTAAACCACACCTTAATTAATGAAAGTTTGTTCATCCCAACACAATGATGTCCAGCTGCAACAACAGAAAAAGAGATAAATCCAYGAACGGAGGAGTGACCAGCTGGACAGGAGGGTGTGTGGTCCTTTAGGTGTGTCGAAATATTTGGAAACAATGTTTGATCCAGGCGGGAATGTTGGAAGAATTGTTTCATTTTAATTTGTTTTTTAAAGGGATCCCCGATTAGTTGTAACAATAGACTTTATATGATAAACATATACTTTAACTGTAAAATAAAGACTGTAAAAATACTGTAGGATGTTCAGTTTTTATAATTTTTAAACTAAAGGTTTAAAAATATATTACACGGACAGGGCCATTTTATTTACACACAAAGCATTCTGGGTAAATGATGACATGGATAGGTCATCAGTGCGAGGCTGCTAGCGAGCTATATCCACCCTGAAGATTAATCTTAATATCTGACAATTGGCTCTTTTAAATGAAACCAGAGAGCGTTGACAGAGAGGAGAAGGTAGAAATGACTCAGCCTGTAACTGAAAATATRGATGGAGGACAACAGAGCTGCTTCATGGAAGAAGAACCTCAGCCTGTTAGCCTGTTAGCTTTAGCCTGTTAGCCCCAACGCTATCACCACATATATGTATTAGCTCAGTGCTACACATTCTCCTCTCGTCACTGAGGTCCTCCATCCACATAACAGAGAGGGGAACGCAAAAATGACTCAGCAACTGAATATATGGATGGAGGACCTCAGTTTACCTTGTTTGTCACACTATCGCCGAGCTAATACATATAAGGCAATATAGTGCGAGGGCTAGTGTGAAGGCTAACAGACTAAGCTGAGGTTCTTCTTCCATGAAGCAGCTCTGTTGTCCTCCATCYWTATTKTCAGTWMCAGGCTGAGTCATTTCGACCTTCTCCTCTCTGTCAACGCTCTCTGGTTTCATTTAAAAGAGTCAATCATCAGATATTGTCCAAGATTAACCTTCAGGGTGGATATAGCTCGCTAGCAGCCTCGCACTGATGACCTATCCACATCATCATTTACCCAGAATGCTTTGTGTGTAAATAAAATGGCTCCGTCCATGTTAAAATATATTTTCAAAAAATTACAAAACTAAACAGCCTACAGTATTTTTACAGTCTTTATTTTACAGTTAAAATAAATGTTCATCAAATAAAGTTTAATGTTACAACTAATCGTGGATCCCTTTAAAAACTTGCAGCGTGGCCTCGACACATACTAACATCTGCAAAGTATTCAGCTTTATTAGATTTACTTTATTGTTTGGACAACTGAAACCAACCACGGCACGGCACAGTCCATGCAAATGAAACAGGAATTTGGGCCGCCACCTTGGTAGGTGCTACATGGCATCGAATCATAGATATTTGACAGAACAAATTAAATGAACTAAACTGCTCTCGACCAGGTTTGTTGGGAAGCTCATTACAGACCACTGGCACCTTTTTTCACAATATGTATGATAAACTAGGACTGTCTCTTTGCATTTTTTAACTAATGACACAGATTACAACACGCCTATGGTGTTGGCAATGTGTGGTTTTAACATGTAAACAATACACAGGGATAGACATAGCACCCAGCAAGATGGCAGCCACAACTATTACCTACAGTCATCAGTGGCCATTCCAGTGTATTTCTGTTTCAGTGCTTTGGATCAGTAAACACAGGAATGTAATGTGGGAGTTGAAGGCTAACAGGACAAGTCTAACCCTGAAGTCAGGCTGCAATAGGACATTTTCCTGAATAACAAATAAAAAAAAAAACACTTTTCTGCAGCTGCAGAGTTTCTCCACTAGAAGGCATCAGTGATTAAAGTCATCAAAAATGAAAAAAAAAAAAAAAAAAAAACACCAGATATTTTTTACCAGTAGTTGACTTCTAGGATTTATATATTTCTGTCTATGCTGCCTTATATTAAAATATATTTTCAATACTTTTAGTTGTATTTGGTTATCAAATATTTAAAACACACTATAATCTTGTGTCTATGAGTAGGCAGTCTGCTTTCTATGGGAAATAATTTTATGGAAACATTTAGCTAAAATTTTTTTTATTCATTGCTAATTATGTGGGTTTGTATTAGGGGTGCAACAATAAATGTATCTGTATTGAACCATTCAATACACACTATGTATGGAACAAGACAGATTTTTAAAATTGATTTTATCAGCTTGTCTTCTGAAGATGCTCTGTGTTGAAGGATCAGTGGATCTGTGTTCGACTACTTCACCTAGGCTGCATTGTCGAGCACAGATCCACTGAGAAACTTGCTCTTTCAGCAACATCTAATTTAAAAACTGTACTTTTGAGGTTACACAAATGTTCATAATTAATTTCAATAAATTACAAGTTAACAAGGGCATGGAATTTTCTCTTTTTGTATTGAAAAAACACTGAACCGTGAGACTAAAGTATCGAACCGAATCGTTAAATTTCTGTATCATTGCACCCCTAGTTTGTATATATGAATGGAATTTAATAGATGTCCAGTTGATATGACAAATCATCCTCCTTTTTTTTACTAATATTTTTGCTATAATTCTTCTCTAACATATTGGGGTGGGGGGTGAAGTTTGTAAAAGAAGTGGGGAAAAAAAAACAATGTTTGACGTTCACTATGCTTATATTTGGTAACATGTTAACCTTGACATCACACCGTCAAATTAAGTTATACACTAATTCAAACATCAGGGTTTCCTCCAGTGTATTATAGACCTGACAGGTTGCCAGTCTAAGTGTTGTTTATTTAGAGCCAGTGCTAGAAGAGAGTGGGACAACAGGACAAATGGCTAGGACCTAGCATTAGCAACATAGACACTGCTGTGGCATTAGAAGCCACAGCTCCACTAACCCTAAAGACAATACCACCTGAAAACAAGTGTTTTTGGGGGGGGAAAAAATCACTGAACCTTATTAATGCATTACAGCATTGGAAATATTTAAAATACTTCAAGTCTGGTTGAATGGTTTAAGACAACAGCATTAGTTACAGTGTATTTGTTGTTTTCTGGCTAAGCCAACAAGAAGTTTACTGTTTAGTTTTCYACACTTTTACAATGACAGACAGCACATTTTCAGAAAAAAAAACTATTTACTAAGTGATATGTAGCTTTAATTGCCAACCCAGATGAAATAATTGTTGCCTGGCAGACTGCTGAATCAGTTMAGTTATAAAGAAAGGAGGGAAGAGCGAATGACTCAGCCTGACTTCCTGGTCTTTGCAGTCAGAATGAAGCAATTATTTCCTCTGMGGGCACATTCACCAGGTACACTGACATCCATTGTTGCTTTGTAAAACCAGCACAGCAAACACTCACCGTCTACTCTCTGTTGTGTGTGTTTTGAGTAGGCTGAACTGGTAAAGTTTCCTGTCTCTGAGGTGGTTTTCTCAGAATACTAATAATTAACTTTTACTCAACTTTATACGAGGCACCAACAGCATGAAATACAATGCTAAAACATGTCACTGGCACATTTTCACCATGAAACTCACKTTCTGAGTGTAAAATCCTAGTTTAAAAATTTCTACTAACATGTTATATAGCTTACTTTTAGAGCTGCCACTTTTCAGAAATTAAAATAAGGTACAACACACTGGGTATGTTTTTGATGAGGGAATGACATTATAACATGATTTAAAGCTCAAATTTAATCTGTTTTCAAAAACTTTGGCTACTGTTAAGCTGGTTGTTGCTAAATGTAGCTTTTTAAAGTTAAATTCACATTTAATTTACCATTTGAGCTTTTTTCCTGCTAATTCCAACTTGTTTCTGCAAGCTTTAGCTTRTYTTTATACTAATTTCATCATTTTTTCTGCTGTTTCATATCATTCTGCTCCATTTTTCTAATTTCTACTTTTTGTGCTTTTTGTCTTCTTTCAGCTAATTTGATCTTTTYAGACTTCCTTCATTTGCTTTCTGTTAATTTTAATTGTTTTGTACAATTTTGTCTATAGTTTAAGCTGCTTTTAGATAAATTTTGTATTTTCAGCTGAAATTTCATTTTGGTGGACATTTAAGCTTCTTTCTGCAAAGGCTCCTTCTGCAGCTTTATGATAATTTTGATACGTTCAGCTACATTTCAGCAGTTATTCTTCAAATTTCAGCTATTTTACAGCAAATTGCAACTTTTTGTACTTTTTTCTTTGGTTTTCAGTTCATTAGATTTTATTTGCACTTCTTCCTTAATCTGTATGCTAATTCTAACTTGTTTCTGCCACTTTTATCTTCTTTTTGCTAAGTTTAGCTACTTTTAGTCTTGTTTAGCATGTTTGAGCTGCTTTTTTAAACTTTTCTTTTAGGTTTCGTGATGCATTAGGTTACATTAGGTTATTTCACCTTTATTTAAATCATATTTTAAGGTATTGAGCTAAGTCTTGGTGGTGTAGTAGCCAAAAATGATCTCCRGTGCATGCTGAAAGCTAATTAGCATGTCAAAATGGCTAAAAAAACTAATACAGGCTGTCAGTCAGTCGGAGTGCATGTTGTTCTTTGAGCTCTAACTCTGTAACCATGTAACGTAGGAATGTCAAACTTCGCAGATGGGTTGTGGGTCAAAAATGATTTTTAGTGACTCTAGGGTCACGGAGGTCAAAGATCAAAGGTCACACGTTACATTAGATAGGTCTAACTTGATAAATGTTAAATAAATGTTAAAATTTAATTTCAAGCTACAGTTAATGCTAAGTTTAGAATAGGCTATAAATCAGCCATTTTAAGACATAAAAACCATAAATCTGGTAACACATTAGCCACAGACTAATATCTAAATGCTACTCAAAAATTCAAGATGATCACCAAGGCTAATTTCAAATAACTTCAACTCAGCCATTTTTTGTAATATTGTGCTGACAGCATGCTGTCTCACATACTGCAGCAGAAAAAAATCCAAAATGGCCACCAAAGCTATTTTGCCAACATTTAATGGCCAAACAAAGTACAATTTTGTATTTTATGGAATGGAGGAAAACAATATTCACTGTTCTTACATTTAGCCAATTTTTTTTTACTAATTGTTAAATAATTTTTGTAAATCCTAAATCTAAATGTGTAAATCTAAATGTAAAAGTCAAATCTTAAATGTTGTGACTAAATGTTAAAGTTTACAATTACAGTAAGTATTTGAGAATGGAACTCAGCCTTTGTGGTTGGTGCTCGGCTCTTTTAATGACATCACCTTCCTGAGACAAGAGCTAACGCCACTAACGCTGCTAATACTGCTAATACTGCTAATACTGCTAACGCTGCTAATACTGCTAATACTGCTAATACTGCTAATGCCGCTAATACTGCTAACACTCCTTTGCAAGAGATCAAACTTACCGGTGTCCAAGCTGCATTTCAAACCGCCTGACCACAGATACCATCCATAATGTTTTCAATGAGCACATTTTGAATTTTTAAATGCCACTTAAGCAGAGTTGGCAATTGCTTTTGTCTTAGGATGATGACTTCTAATGCTGCTAATGCTACTAGCACATCATGTTCATTGAAAACATAATCGATGGTACTTTGTGGACCGGCAGTTCGTCTTGTAGGGAAGCGTTAGCAGCATTAGCGTTTGATGAAGCTATGACAAGATCCAGAGATATGTGCCCAAACATGCTTTACACGATCTTACAAAAAAAAGACGTTTTTAAGTATTGTGATTTCTCTGTCTCCTCAGGYACAGAAATGGATTCTGCTGCAAAAGAGGAAATGTCATCGCTGATGTCAAACCAGTCGTCAGAGAGCTGCGCGCCAGTAGAGACGACGATTGAGAACCAGTTATTTGGATGGTTCTACGTGGTGGTTTTCGTTCTGGCGCTGGGTGGAAACAGTCTGGCTCTCTGGATCTTCTCACGTCAGCGTGGGGTTTCCTCTCCTGCTAACGTCTTCTTGGTTCACTTAGCTGTGGCAGATCTGTCGTATGTCATCATTCTCCCGCTCCGAGCCGTCTACCACTTCACCGGAGGCCACTGGCCGCTGGGCGAGGTCCCCTGCAGGGTGGTGGGCTTTTTGTTTTATGTCAACATGTACGCCAGTCTGTACTTCCTGGCCTGTGTAGCGGGGGATCGCTACCTGGCTGTTGTTCACGCCGTGAGATCGATGAAGGTTCGCCAGGCCCGCTATGCTCACATCATCAGCTTCTCGTTATGGATCCTGGTCATGGTCTCAATGGCACCGCTGCTCATCACCCATCAAACTGCCCAGGTGGACAACACGACGGTGTGCTTGCAGCTGTACCGAGAAAAGGCCTCACGCAAGGCRCTGATCTCTCTGGCTGTGGCTTTCACCCCGCCTTTCCTGGCCACTCTGTCCTGCTACCTGCTCATCATCCACAGCCTGCACAAGGGCTCCAGGCTGGAACCAGCGCTCAAGCTGAGAGCACTTCGCACCATCGGCGTAGTCATGCTCATTTATGTGGTCTGCTTCCTGCCTTATCACATGAGCAGGGCCACCTTTATACTGGGCTACAACCACCCAGATGTGACCTGTCAAACACGCAGATCCCTCAGCATGGCTAATCGCCTCACCTCTCTCCTCACGTGCCTGAACGGCGCTATGGACCCTCTGGTCTATCTGTTTGGGGCAGAGAAGTTTCGGAGCACRCTGCGGCGGTTATTTTGTAAAAATAAGGCAGGAATGTCTGCAGCCACAAGTGGAGAGTTGAAGGGAACACATGAAAGCTCTCTGAGCGCCAAGTCTGAGTTCTGAAGGAAACTGTGCCGTCTACATACCTTTCATATAAAAAATTTAATTTGACTGTTCAGCGATTGTCCTGTTTAACTAACTGAAAATGCAGGAATAAAATCAAAGCCAGGTGTCCTCCCTGCAATCATTCAGTGAACCTTTACAAACCTGTCTCTTCTGTCAACAACAGGAAGCATCAAGACACTAATCTACGGAGATAAATTAGTCTCAAAATATTTAAGCATGCAGATCTGCTCCCCTGTGGATGTGACTTAYAGGAAAACGAATGAGCACATCTCTATTTCCAAAATAATTTACCAATAATAGAAACATTCTCAAAATCCTAGCTATACTAATAAATATGTGAATAATTTATACCTTTACGCTGTCAAAATCAGTAATTTATGGTTATGCAATATGTATACACACATATTACACACAAAACGTGGACTTTATTCTGAAAAAAAAAACAGTGATGCAGTTTCATCTGTTGTTTTGAGTCTGCCTTTCACAGAATGAATTATTTTAATCTGAATTAGATATTTATCACTGGCCTTACCGTGCCATTTCTCATTTCCCATGCACGCTTCTCGGAGCGCCTCTCGACTTCGCAGCCGAGCGGACGCACTGTAAATCCGGGGTTGTATGTGCAAATCTGCAGCAGTAAAAATGTCTCAAAAGTCACATTCACAGGCAATCAGATCCATGCGCTCCTGCAAATCTTGATGCGTTCATTCAAATCTTTTTGAGACTAAAATATCTCCATAATAAACAATCATGACCTATACTCAAGGTTTCAAACCTATCATTTTTTTGTAACCGCATGATATCATCATATGTTCAAAAAGTGGAGCTTTTGCTGTTATTTTCCATTGATTATTTTTGTATTGTAGATTCGATCTACCAGTCTGGTGATTTATCCAGTACCAGGTCTTTAAATACGAAATAATTTTTTTGTATTTTATGGAGATCTGCATTTGTAAACATACACTGTTGTTGTTTTAGTTTCTGAGGCTCTATATAGCCCAATTGTTTAGAAAAACTCCACATAGACAGCATTACACCATATGTGGTTGAAATTTGRCATGTGAATGCAACATTTTTGTCTTTTTTTACTGTCGTCTCTTTTAGTTTTTGGTTTCTAATTTGCTTTAAGCCACATGTGAGGAGCTCTCTTATCTAATGCTAAAGCTAACATGCTAACTGCCTTGGACAGGGTTAAATGAGATGCCAACCCATTTGAAGGTCCAAAAGTTGAAACAACCAAATAATTACTGGTGGTTTGGTTAATTTATAAAGCTACAGTCTATGTCATTTATAAAATGATTACATTGTTGTCAAAAGGCTAACATTGCTCTGAATGTAGCTACTGAAACCTTCATAGTGCGATGTTTTGAGACTCAGCTGGAGCCAGAGATCTTCAGTTTCCAGAACCAGTTGATCCTGAAGTCTTCTAACTCAGAAGTATTTTTCATACACCAGCAAACTGTTTTATATTTCTTTACACTTAAATTGTTTTCTGCAAGTTCCGCATGTTATAAAAACATTTAAGGTTGTTTTTGATCTGTGTGTGATTTTATACTTGTAAAATCTATCTCCCATCTAATACACATGCAGAGGTGGGATCAATGTGTCTTTGTTTGAATAAAYGTGTACAGATTCAACTTTTAATGTATGTTCTCTGTAAACCAGATGAGACRAATACTCAGTTTTTGTCAGCAATKTTGCTTTTAATGCATGTTTACCACTGTTAGTGACACCTCCATCTCCTGCATGGTGGGGTTGTGGAGGCAACAAGTCCAGGAGAGAAACCCAGATCTTCTTTTCCTCAGCAACACACTGCAGCTCGTCCTGTGAGACCCCGAGGGGCAGGSTCGGCCCTAGCCAATTTGGCGCCCTCGGCAAGATTTCTGGTGGCGCTCCTCTAAATCTCATTGCCAACTTATACATTCACATACCAAATTAAATGGTTTCGTCTTTGATATTTGTAYCTTTATAACACTTCTTGTAGTAACAAAGCAGCTTGAGAAACTCACAGAGCCTTAYGAAGGTCTTTTGGTCATGATCCATACTTCACAATCACAGGTGAGGGTTGGAATGTAGACGGACCAATAAATCGAGAGCTTTAGTCGTTCGACTCAACTCTTTCTTCACCACGACTGAACTCAGCAACACCTTCATTACTAATAACTAGACCCCGATGCATTGTTTCATCTTCAACTCCATCCTACCATCACCATCATCCTCAATCAAGATGGTGCCTTCCACCCATTACCCATTGAAATTCACGGACTCGGACTGAAAAAACAATTCAGATGGAATGAATCTTTCTAAAAACTGTAAAAACTTTGGCTATTTCTTGAGGTTTTTATAAAACTGTCAAATTAAAAATTCTTTGGTTCATGACTGAAGCAGCAACTTATAGGTTGTGTCAGAATTTACCTGCTGGTGTCACAAATGTCAGGTTACTGCTCACAATAAAGTGTCTGAATATTGATGCAGCAAAGACTGTAGAAAGTTACTTCTAGACGTCAACATTACGTAACAATATGTTCACCAAAAATCCTTCAAATATTAGGCTACTGTTTATCTTATGTTGTCTAGTTTCTTAAAGGAATAGTAAGTGTGGTTCTTTGTGAAAGATCTGAACAGTTATCTTACAAGTTGTTGATAACTTGTTGAACAAACTCAGTTTAAAGAAAGACAGTTTAAGTTCAACAGGACAGACATGCTAACAACTAGCTTAAACAAAGCTAAGACTAAGATTAATCCATAAAAACATTCATAGTGGTTCATTCATACTACCTCGGAGGCATTTGCATTGCTGGTAGTTTCCTAAAACATGATCATATGCATAGAATACTGTGGTTTGCAGGCACAACAGTTAGCTGTGGCACTTCTGGTTCAGGCCGGGGTCAGTTCGGGAACTGATGACCCCAGGCTAAACTGGTTATGAGTTAGGTCTCACTGCTGGTACTTCCTACGTGTCCTCAGGAGTTGGTCTTAGTCCCTCTCAGACTAGCCATTAGCTTAACTGGGTAGAACGTAAACTCTGTTTATCCAAACTGAGGTTGTTCAAACAGATAAACACAACAGGTAAGATACTAATTGTGTATGCCCTTCCCACTAAACCCAACTCCAAAATGTCTCATTACCTCCACCATGCTTACTTTGAGTTTTTGCTCCTCATAACAGACTAATTTACTGTTTGACAGCATGAAGTTTACAAAACTGAATGTATTATTATTAAGACAGGCAGGCTATGTTGGAAATGACCTCTTGCTCAGTATACCTGTATATGGTGCCCTATCTTGTTGCAGTGTTTAAAATAATAGCTGTAGTTTTAGATTCTCTGTATGCCATAATGAGTGTCATATGGTTAGAAGAAGTTACATTGTGGCCTGAGAGTGCACAGCAAGCTAATGGAGACTAACGTCTACAGCTAATCTTTCAGACAAAGAAAATGTCTGTACTGATGATTTCCACTCAGGGCATCACAAATACGATTTAAATGCATCATCTGCTGCTCTCTCAAATGATTATACAATCGGTGTGGATTGTCCAATCGAATAAGATTCAGTGTAAATACCATAACAGAAAGAAGTTCCTGAGGACAATTTCAACACATAAGGAAAGCTCATTTGAAACGTYTGGAGGGTCGAGGTCTTCGACAGACATGGGAAGCAAGTGGTTTGTTAAAAAGGTTGGTGTTTTTGCTGTGTCTTCTGGTACAGCTTGCTGCATCTATCGCACATGCAAGACTGGACGGGGACCAAAAACCTGGCATTTTTTTTTTTGGGGTCACGGCGGCCCACAATGGTTATTTATATGAATGGACATGCCATACCAGAGGATATATTTGCATGTTGTGTTGTTTCACAAGTTAAAATAAAGTGAAGCAGCCTACAAGGAAGAGAGTAACCACGCTAAAAAACACAGTTATGCTCATAGTAACACCATATACCAGTGCATTCAACTAAATTGCTGGGCAGGTGGAGAAGCTACACAACCGGCGCCGGAATGGGGGGGCCAGGGGGCCACTGCCACCCCCCCCCCCCC